ACCCCCCCTCCCCCCCCCGAGTGCACAAATTTTTGTGCACTGGGCCTCTAGTCCTATATAATAAAAGGCTAATATGCACATTGACCCTAACAGCAGAATGACTGGCCGCTATGATGCGCACTGACCACCAGGGGGCAGATGCTCAATGCAGGAGCTGCCCCCTGGTGGTCAGTACACTCCCACAGGGGGAGCGCCGCTCAGCCAGAAGCTGGCTTATGGCTGGCCAGCACAGCGGCAATGGCGGGAGCCTCTCCCGCCTCCTCTGCAGCGCTAAGGAGGAGGGCTCCCGGACTGCCAGAGGGATGTCTGACTGCCAGCTTAGGCCCGGTGCCCCGGGGAGCGAGCCTAAGCCAGCAGGTGGACATCCCCCGAGGGGTCCCTGACTGTGAGAGGGTGCAGGCTGGGCTGAGGGACCCCCCTGAGTGCAAGAATTTTCGTGCACTGGGCCTCTAGTCTATATAAATAAAAGGCTAAGTGTCCCTCTGACGGTAGCTATGATGTGCACTGACCACCAGGGGGCAGACGCTCAACGCTAGAGCTGCCAAGCTGCGTTGACTTGGCAGCTTCGGTTCTCAGGTGACGCACCCCGGAAACACATCCCGGAACCAGAGAGGAGGGAGCTCTATTCTTCGCGGGGCCATGCGATTCCACCTTCGGCCATGGGTTATTTTGTTGCTGGGGCACTATCGGCCCTGAATCTGGTTTACTGCACATTTGCATTTGCAGCAACTTTGCAGAGTGCCCTCTTGCACTCTGGGACCCCTCAGGGGATGTTGGAGAGCCAGTTTCAGCCCGATTCCCGCAGGCCAGGCCAAGGGACCCCACCTGCCAGAGGGACCCCGCTCACTCTGCAGACGCCCTTCGAGCTGAGCGGCCGGAGAGGGACAGCTGGATGTTGGCTCCAGGGCGTGTCCAGCCTGTCTTGCCCAGTCCCGCCCCGCCAGCCACCTTCTAATTAATTTCCTTTCAATGTGCATGAATCCATGCACTGGGCCACTAGTTTCCTAATAAGGATCCTGTGTCCATGAGAAAATACTGAAGAAATGTGTGGAGATCTTTGATTTAGGAATTTTTATTTTTCTTTCCAGAGCTTTGAACATGGAGGGGTACCCTCAGGGTCAGGATTGGAGCAGGTTGGCTGTTGGAAGCAGTGGGAAAGGATGTTTTCAGTCTGCCTTGAGCCAGAGCTGCAGGGATAACATCCAGGCGTGGTGAGGCTCCAGCCAGAATGTTTGCCATGAGATGCTGGGCAATCCCACCTGGTATTTAATCGCTGCATGGAAATTTCTCTTTTTCTGATTTTTTTTTTTTTTTGTGTGTGTTAATTTACACCAAAGCCTTTTAAAAAAGATTTATTTAAATTAATGTTTAGAGAGAGGGGATGGGAGAGGGAAAGAAAAACACTGAAGTGAGAAAGAAACATTGATCGTCTGCTTCCTGCCCACAACCTGGGCATGTACCCTGACTGGGAATCAAACCTATAACCTTTTGATACATGGGATGACACCCAACCAATGGAGCCACACTGGTCAGGGCTCTTCTTTTTTTAAGTTCTGAAAAAAGTGAAAAGATTTTTACCTGTGCCAAAATGGACTTTGGTTCTTGAACTTCCCAATTATGAGGGAGCTCACTTGTCTTGCCCAGTTAGTATAGACTGTAACTCACACGGATCAAGGATTCATGGTATCAGCAACATTCTTTAATTGGTATTTTAGCAGGATCTTGATGTGGTCACCAAGTTTAGTTGTCCATCTATAACAACATCAGGAGAAAGGTTTTTAAAGTTGGAATTATATAAAAACAAGAAAAAGTAATCATATAGACCAGGGGGCCTCAAACTTTTTAAACGGGGGGCCAGTTCACTGTCCCTCAGACCGTTGGAGGGCCGGACTATAGTTTAAAAAAAAAACTATGAACAAATTCCTATGCACACTGCACATATCTTATTTTGAAGTAAAAAAACAAAACGGGAACAAATACAATATTTGTATTTGCATGTGGCCCGCGGGCCGTAGTTTGAGGACCCCTGACATAGACTATTCATTCATTTACTCTTTTATTCAGAAAACATTTGTTAACCACATGGTGAGTGTGTGCATGTGCATGTTTGTATTGAAAATATAGAGTGAATCCTGTCTCATGGAGCATACACTCTAGAGATGCCGGGGCTGACCACAGACCCTGAGCAATGGATGAATAGATTACCCTGACACACGTTTCTGTGAAAGAGAAAGCTAAGGAACTGTTTGGCTTTAGAAACCAAAACAGCCTCGATTGCCTGCCTCATTAGGCTTTTATTGTAACAACAGCTTGAACTAAAATTAACCTCTGGATCAGCGGTTCTCAACCTGTGGGTCGCGACCCCTTTGGCGGTCGAACGACCCTTTCACAGGGGTCGCCTAAGACCATCCTGCATATCAGATATTTACATTACGATTCATAACAGTAGCAACATTACAGTTATGAAGTAGCAACAAAAATAATTTTATGGTTGGGTCACAACATGAGGAACTATAAAGGGCCAGAAGGTTGAGAACTACTGCTCTAGATGCAAACAGCAGGGTAAGTATCCTTGAGAAAGCACATGCTTCTACAAGGTCAGGTTTAAAGACAAAACCTAGAGATTCCAGCAAAACACCCAGGGGCAGGGACTTGTTTGGAAAAGTCAAGGCAGGGGCTGCCACCTTCGGCAAGGTCCCCCTAACAGGCCCCCAACCTTTCAGAGAATCCTCCTTACAGACTTTCCAACCAAGTCATGTGCTTCCCCACATAGAGAGATATTTGTAAGCACAAAAGAATAGGAAGTATTGTGATGGAGGCATATTCCAGGAGTGAAGAGACACAGAATGTGATGGTGGGGTGCTGAGAGCAGCATCATGGATTGACTGTAACATATGCCAGGCCCTGTGCTGAGGGTTTGGCATGCTATACCTCTTTTAATCAGCAGGATCATATAAGTGGAAGCCTTGATAGGTTAAGTATCTCAAATGAGGTAACGTAGTAAGTAGAACCTAGGTTTTAACTCAGATCCAAAGCCATAAACCTTAGGCAATAAATAAGAGAATGCATCACTATCTTTCTAGGTTTACTTTCCTGCTTTGTCCATCTCCACCACTGAATGTAATGAAGGAAGAAGGAAGCTGGAGAGCCTTTTTGTGTAAAGGATGTGCAGTGGGCATCTAGACTATGCCACTGTCATATAAAGGATATATAGTTTATTGTTGAACAATGTGGGTGTGGGGTGCTGGAACCCTGCTCAGTCCAAAATCTGCCTACTAGTATAACTTTTGACTCCTCAGTCATCCCTCAGTATTTGCGAGGGATTGATTCCAAATCCCTCGGATATCAAATCCACGATTGCTCAAGTCCCTTATATAAAATTAGAGGCCTGGTGCACAAAATTCGTGCATGGGAGGGGCGTGTCCCTCAGCCTGGCCTGCACCCTCTCCAATCTGGGACCCCTTGGGGGATGTCCAACTGCCTGTTTAGGCCCGATCCATCCCTCTCACAATCCAGGACTGTTGGCTCCTAACCGCTCGCCTGCCTGCGAACCTGATCGCCCCCTAGCCACTCCCTTGCTGTCCTGATTGATGCCTAACTGCTCCCCTGCCAGCCTGATTGCCCTGAACTGCCCTCCCCTGCTGGCCTGATTGCTCCCAACTGCCCTCCCCTGCCGGCCTGATCACCCCCAACTGCCCTCCCCTGCTGGCCTGGTCACCCCCAACTGCCCTCCCCTGCCAGCCTGATTGCCTCTAACTGCCATCCCCTGCTGACCTCTTTGCCCCCAACTGCCCTCCCCTGCCAGCCTGATTGCCTCTAACTGCCATCCCCTGCTGACCTCTTTGCCCCCAACTGCCCTCCCCTGCCAGCCTGATTGCCTCTAACTGCCATCCCCTGCTGACCTCTTTGCCCCCAACTGCCCTCCCCTGCCAGCCTGATTGCCTCTAACTGCCATCCCCTGCTGACCTCTTTGCCCCCAACTGCCCTCCCCTGCCAGCCTGATTGCCCACAACTGCCCTCCCTGCCCGCCATCTTTGTGGCGGCCATCTTGTGATGATGTCGCGCGAGGGTGTGACACCACCTAGGCTTTTATTATATAGGGTGGTGTAGAGCCTGACTGGCATGACTCAGTGGTTGAGCATCAACCTATGAACCAGGAGGTCACTGTTTTATTCCAGGTCAGCGCACATGCCCAGGTTTACGGGCTCAATTCCCATCAGGGGACATGCAGGAGGCAGCCCATCAATGATTCTCTCTCATCATTGATGTTTCTGTCTCTCTCTCTCTCCCCCTTCCTCTCCGAAATCAATAAAAATATATATTAAAAAATTCTTATAAAAAATAAATAAAAAATAAAATCGTATGTAGAACAATGCATACAGTTGGCCTTCCACATCTGCAGACTCCCACCTGCAGATCAAAAGTACTATTTTCCAACCAAAGTTTATTGAATCTGAAATGTGGAAACCTTGGGGATATGGAAGGGCAACTATATTTTCTAAAAAAAAATCTGTATACATGTGGACCCATATGCAGTTCAAACTGTTTGTTTAAGGGTCAAAGGTACATGGGGATCTAGTCTAGACAGTGACTATGAGTCTGTGATTATGCATTTTCTCAGAGGATCCTTTATAGTCAGTATTTTGCCAACTGTATTTCTAAAGAGGCTTTCTTTTCCCTCTGCTAAGCTTTGCAGAAACTGCCAGGCTCATTGTCACCCAGGAGGGTCTGTACCCCACAGCTCTCTGTCTCTTTTCTTGGTGCAGTGCATTGTAGCCAATAGCCTCTGGTTTCTGCCTCGCTGGTTCTCAGCTGTGTTTGGATGAGGAAAGAGGTTTTATTTAAGGCCCATTGAAGAGAAGAGTAACTTCCTCATCAAGCCAGAAGTTTGTCAGTGTGCACTTCACTAGCTCTAAGTTTCCTCTTCACATCCAGCAAGGTGTAGGCTACTTTCTCTTATCTCCTGCTTTCTGCCTTGTAAGTATTGCAAGTCTGTATTTCTGATCAAACTCATTAGGATTGTAAGAAGAGGCTCAAAAGGGAAGCAAGATCCTGCCTTCTTCCTGAGGGAACCAGTGAGGACAAGGGGTGGCCTTTTTCAGGGTGAATTACCCTGGGGCTGAAGAAAAAACTTTGGGAAGTATGTACTGCTTTAGGGCTGTGTCTGTATGTCTTCATTCAGATGCAGCTCTTATTGATTTCAGAGAGGAAGGGAGAGGGAGAGATAGAAACATCAATGATGAGAAAGAATTATTGATTGGCTGCCTCCTGCACACCCCCTACTGGATATTAAGCCCTCAATCTGGGTGTGCCTACAACCAGAATTGAACCTTCAGTCTGCAGGCCAACACTCTCTCCACTGAGCCAAACCAGGGAGGGCCTGATGCAGATCTTGATAGCAGTGTAAGTAGAAAGACAGACCTTTATCCCTGAATTGTGGCCACACGAGGAAATCCCATGATTGAAAATTTGGAAATAAACATGCTTTTCTTTAAAGACTATATTTTCTTTTAGTCCATTGGATTTTAAGTACAAAATCTCTAAGAATAAGGCTAAGTACCTGCGTTTCTGGAAAAAAAAAAAGGCCAAGAGTTCAAGTTTAGAGAGAATTTACTTCAAGCAACATTAGACCATTTCCATCCCATTTCTAAAAATGAATTTAATGTAAGATTTTAAAATAAGATTTTATATATATATTTTTCATTTTGATCTCAGAATTATCTACACTAATAAAAGACAAACATGCAAATTGACCATACCTTCGCTATGCCTTAAGCCACGCCCACCAGCCAATCAGAGCGA